GTAAGGCTTGAAACTTTGAAAAGTGAAAAGGAATGTACAAACTGACATGGAGAGGGAGAGGGTTTCAGGCATAGTGAGGAGCAGGCTTTAGGAAACAGAACCCTTTAAACGTAGGTTATATTTGAGAAATCATAACTAGCTTTCAGATGCTCGGAGAATTAATAATAGTATATAGAATGAGACCAAAAGGGAGATTTCTGATCCTGAATAGTTTTAAATGCATTAAAAAAAAGAAAGAAAAGAAAAGAAAGAAGAAGAAAAGGAGAGAAACATGGATTTTACTTCCAGGTCACTGACTTTAAATCTCTGATGACTTTAATTTCACTGGTCACCCTATTAAAAAATTACCATCCAACCAGGAACAAATAAAAGTGATTTTTTTCCCAAAAAGGAAATAAATACATTCTGGCATTGTTTTTTATTTTTATAGGGTCCAGGAACATTAAATATTGTAGTCATATTATAAAATGCCACGGTTTTGATGGACAATTAAAAATAAATCTTCTTAATTATAAATTTCATTGCATAATACAAGACTGAAAAATACAGGGGCATTGTTGAGACATAATATTGTGTTCTGACTAAAATATATAACCAAAAATAAAAATTTGATTATTAGTATAAAATTTCAAGGATATTGCTGAGATATTACCAGGGTCAGGTTTGGTGAGAAGTGAGGCATCACCAGCATTTGCTGGGAGGCCTTAGCAGGGAGAACAAGACATAAGAGAATTGTCATGATCACACCCAGGAAGCCAAATTTTGGCAGCAGGTGGCACATCCCACTTGAAGAAAGAAGCAGCAGGATCCAAAAAAAAGATCTTCCCTCTTATTTTGGATGACGTATAAGGCAAACAGCAGACATTGCACATTTATTCCACTTTTTAGCTCTGATAATGGAGCTTTCTAGACTACCTCCCTGGCCAAGACAACTCTAAGAGTTAACAAAATGCAAAAACAAAACCAAAAAGTTGAATGAAAGCATTAAAAATCCTTAGGATTTGTAATTTGTTCTAGAAATGAAATTTTACAAAGTAATTTTCCAAAAATTTCAAGTGACTTAAGTCTGTATTCTGATTGTAGTGAAAATAATAAAAAAGGTAAATAGAATAATCCCCCAAATGTTTGAAAAGCAAGGACTGCATTTCTAAATAGCCCATGATTCAAAATAGAAATTGCAGTAGAAATCAGGCCACCTTATTGCATTGAAAAATAATTTAGAAATTTATGTCATATTAACAACCTAAATGATGCAGTTAAGGCACCACTAAGAGGAACTATTATAGCCTTTCTTATTCATGAAGCTGAAGGGTCAATATTGTTAATGTCAGTTCTCCCTTGGAATCAATGTAATATTATGCAGTTACGTGGCAAAATGATAGTTAAATCTATTTTTAAATCTGAAGGGTCAAGGACAACCAAGGAAGTTTTAAAGGTTAAAAACAAAGATAAAAATGTTAGATCATCCACAACATGCATTTTAAAGCCACAGTAATTAAACAGTGTGGCATTTCTCCTAGGCTATGTAAGTAGACCAATGCAACATAACAGAGAATTCAGAAACAGACCAAAGCATACAACCACCTCATTTCTAACAAAGATGCTTCTGAAATGCAGTGAAGAGTTTTTTTTAATCAATAGCTTTTATATAAATAAAATTTAACCAGTACCCCTACTTCACACCACACAGAAATTAAATCCTAACCTAATAGACTTAAATCCGAACAGTAAAATAATACCCCATCTAGGACAGAACAAGTGAGAATATTTTCAGGACTTTGTAATGACAAATGTCTTTTACAAAGAATGCAATAAGCATCCATAACAGAGAAAAACTTAATAAATTCAATTTCATTAAAATTAAGGATTTATAATTGAAAGTATAAATTAGAAGAGTGAAAACATAGTACCAAATGGGAGAAGACACATATATCCAATAAAAGATTCAAATCTAGACAAATAATAAGTAAGAACGGGCTAACAGAGAATAACAAACAAAATAAAATCACATTGAGCAAAATACTTGAATGAGCACCTTATTAAGGTAGTTTGAAATGGTCAATAAGCAAATGAGATATTCAACATCATTAGCCATCAGGAAATTGAAAAGTAACAACATAACATGTACTCATCAGAATGGCTAAAATTAAAAAGTCTATCAAATTTTGTGAGGATATGGAGTATGCCTGTGTTAGTATAAACTGGTACAACCATTGGAAAGTATTGGCATTGTCTATCGAAGTTTTACATACACATAGTCTATGTGCTGTCAGAAATTCTACTTTTGAGTAAATATCCAATAGAAATTTGCATACATGAGTGCCAAAAAAAATATTTACAAGAATGCTCATAATAGTATTACATATAACAATTAAAAATAGGGAAAACCCTGAATCTCTATCATCTGTAAAATAAATACATTGTATTATATTTATACTGTGGAACACTATACATCAATGTGAAAGAAAGATACTACTATATGCAACATGTATGGGTCTTATAAACCTGAAATAGAGCAAAAGAACCCAGATATAAAAGAACATGTACTCTGTGATCCTATTAATATAAATATGAAAGAAAGACAAGTGGTGGAGGTAGAAGTTGAAAGACTGGTTATCTCTGCAGAGGGTAGTGACCACAAGAATGAGTG